TAGGGTTTTTGGTTTAGGGTTTTTAGGTTATTTAGGGCTTAGGAACGAGGAAAGCCGGACCGAGCAGCCTGCGTTTCGGGCGAACTCTTCATCAGCGCCTCGATGTCCTTCGACGAAGGGCTTAGATTAATTGGTAACAAAGGTTGGGGCTTATTATGGATGCATTTGATATCATTTAAGAATGCCTACAGAAACTCATGTAGGCATTCTTTCAAATCTTGCAACCCCAAGTGCCGTCCAACAGAAACCACACACTAGGGCGCTAGCACTCTTGGCTTCGAGCTTTCGCGGCTGCTGGGCTTCGGATGTCCTCCACATGCTGGCTCAGACCCTTGAAAGGCATGAAACCCACGGGAAGCCTGGGCGCACTGAGGGTTCTGGCTTCAAAGGGTTTAGGGTTTTAGGGTTTAGGGTTCAGGGTCCAGGGTTTAGGGCCAGTTTAGGGTTTACGGTTTAGGTTTTCGAGTTTAGGGTTCAGGGTTTCGGATGTTGGGGTTTGGTGTTGGAGGTTTTGGGATTAGGGTTTAGGTTCAGGGCTCAGGGTTCAAGCAGTTAGCTGCCCTACTGTTCTCTTGAGGTACTAAACCCTAAACCCTAAACCCTAAACCCCAAACCCTGACCTACAATTTCATAGGGTTTGGGGTCACAAGCAGGAGACTCGGAACCCCGAATTAGGTATTGTAGGGTAGCGGGATCTGTTATGCAAAGGCCGGGTGACTGGGTCCTTTCGGGCTTCCTTTAAGGGGTCTGCAACGGCTCCACATGGGTTCTACAGGGTTTAGGGTTTAGGGTTGAGGGTTTAGGTTTTGTAAAAAGGTGCTGTCACGGTGCCCATGACGGCTCGCATGCCTGAAAACAAGACCATAATTGATCTTTAAGGGTTATATCGTGTTATATATATATATACACACATGTGCGTGTCTTGTTCCAATCATGGCTGAAAATGGGCTCGATCGCGTTGTATAAAGGTTGTAGAATGAGGCGTAGGCACAAAACTTGCAGTGCCTTGGCTATTCCCCCCCTAAAGTGCCTGGCCCTCCCCCAAACCTTGAACCACAAAGCCTTAACCCTAACATCCTTAAACCCTAAACCTGACCCCTAAACCCTGAACCCTAAACCCTGAAGCCTAAACCCTAAACCCTAAACTGTCTGAAGCCCCAAATCCTGAACTTGGAAGCCACAAGCCCTAAACCACCTCAAGCCTGCCCCCAAAAGGCCATACTGTGGGCCTGAATAATTAGAATGTGGTTTTGGGGGTTCCTTATATAATAATTACACTATAGTATGCCCCAAATCCCATTCTAATTTTTCAGGCCCCTATATTACTACGACTACGAAGACGACAACAACGACTCCTGTTTCTGCTCATGCTGCTGCTGCTGCGGCTGCTGCCACATCCGTGTGTGTATATATATATATACACTGCTACCGCGACCTGTACTTCTATGTCTACTTCTATGTCTACTTCTATGTCAAAACTACCATAACTGAAACTTCAACTGATTCATTCTCCTGCTGCTAACAATAAACAGCAGATCCAGGGCCATTAACAACAGTAGCAGCCGTAACGATAGTCTGCCTTTGGCCGTCCTGACGGTACGAGATGTAGTTCGTAACATGAAACTTTACAGGCCGCATATTTTCAAACGACGCAGCCAAGCTGTTTGCCGTGTTCCTGCATGACACGCCAGAAACCGCGGCGTCCTGAACACACTCGAAACCCTAACACCCTTAACCCCAATCCAGCCCTGCACGGCCTCATAGTAGTCCTTGCAGCCCTAAACCCCAAACCCCAAACCCTATGAGCGCAAACTCAGAATCCCGGCGCCTGGTAGAGGCGCCTGTCGGCGCAGCGCCCGAGGTGCGCCGGGCGCCACGAAGGCGTCAGCGACCTGTTGCTGGATTTACGTACCAAAAGGGTCCATATATACTACTGCTACTGCTACTGCTACTACTACTACTACTACTACTACTACTACTACTATTAACTATTACTACTACTACTACTACTACTACTACTACTACTACTACCACTGCTACTACTACTACTACTACTACTACTACTACGATGGTCCCCAAAACCATAATAAGGATGGTCTGTGGGTACCTAATTCCATAATGATAATGTAAAGGGACCCTATGGGTTGGAGCTGCTTGAAGAGGGCTCCTTTCAGCCTGCCTTAGGGTTTCATTAGAGTTTTAGGACTGCTTGCAGGGCTACTATGAGGGCTTTAGGCTTTAGGGTTCTAGTGTTTCGGGAGTTGAGGCTTTAGGGTTCCTTTCAAGGTCTCCCTTAAGGGTAAGTGTGCGAGTTCGTTCCATAAGGGCTACTGTGAAGGTGTTGGGGATTCTCCGGATTAGGGTCTCTGAGTTTAGGGGTTCAGGGATTCGGGTTTAGGGTTTACTTGAACGCTCATGTAGCCGAGGGTTATGTAGTGCTGGAGGGTCAGGAACTGAAAACTGGGTTCACTACGGTTTTGCACTTATATACTTCTGGAAGTATAGTGGGTGCACGGTCACCAAAAGCATTGCTTTGGCTGACTGCAGTGGCTGCGGCAACAGCACCGAATATGTGCTAATACATAACACTACTGAAACATGCTCATGAACCGTCAAGCACGGCTTAGGTGTCTAACGACATCGTTACTCGCACTCCCCTGCTGTGACTTGTGAACACTCGTAGTGCTGCCGGTGCTACGTATTACTAAGCCTGTCCTCATGAGAACAATTATGATAATTCGATTCTCGCACCTACCACTTCATGTTTGGGGGCAAGGCTTTTGTCGTGAATGTGATGATGGTGGGTGCTGAGGTGGTAAATTCTTGTGGACTCCAGTGTTTTCAGACAAAAGTTAGGCAAAGATCTGAGTTGATCTTGTAGGCTGCCGAAGTAAATAAAGGTTCAACCAATGACTCGGCAATTTAGGATACACAGTGCTCAAGCCTGTTACAACCTTAAAGCCTCCGCCGTATCTTCTAAACCCCGAGCCCTTGAAATACACGGGCTCTCGGGCTCCATGCAAGTACGGGCGCAAGAGCGGCAGCAGCCAGAACAGCACATCTCCGCCGTCTGACCCGGCCTGGGACGTGCTAAGGCTTCAGGCTTGGAATGGAGAAGTCTTCTGGAGTATAGTTATGAGTTTCCTATCAACCTTTAGTAGAAGGTAGGTATATGTGTATGTCTGTATGTAGGTATGTACGTACGCGTGTATACATGTATGTACGTATGTATGTCTGTGTGTCTGTATGTCTGTATGTATTTACGTATGTACATATGTATGTATGTATGTATGTATGTATGTATGTATGTATGTACATAGATGTACGTAGATGCACGTACGTAGGTATGTATGCATGTATGCATGTATGCATGCATGTATGTATGTATGTATGTATGTATGTATGTATGCATAAATGTATGTATGTGTGTATGTATGTATTTATGTATGTACATGTGTATGTGTATGTGTCCACATACATGTGTGTATACATGCATATATGTGCGTCTCTGTGTATGTGTGTCTGTATACAAATATAATATATCATGTGTGTATTGTAGGTAGATAGGATCTAGATGGGTTCGAATAACACGCTCGAGCTCTCAGCAGGATGTTCATAGTCTAGACTTTCTTCGGGGTCCAAAGTCTCTAAATCCCATCCTCTTTGGGGTCCTAAGTCCCCAGACCAGGTTGCCTTCAAGCTTTGCCGCAGTCCTTCCGACATTGACATAGCAGCCCCAGGGCAGCAATACTCTGAAGCTCTGCATCCCAGAAAGGCTACTAAACCCTAAACGAGATTTGGGTTTCGGACTGCGGGCCTCCACCGAACTGCCATCTTCAACCCTCCCAGAGAGCCCTGACGGGCTGTCGAAGTCCAAGGCACATCCGGGCGGCTTTGAAGAACTGGACCCAGCCATGCTAAATCAAAAGATAAACTGAGCAAAGCTCTGCAGATGTCGTCATGGTGGTACGAAGAAACATTTATACTGATGCGTCGGCTGCATTACTGCTATTGAGTATTATCCTCCTACTTGCGCAGGCGTCAAAAATGCAATACCAATGAGAAGCAATTGCAGGAGTCCGGATAGTTGTATGGATCGCAGGAATGCAATTTTCAGCCAGACTTAGCCGTACTTAATAGCAGGTTTACAAGGTAACTGTAACTTAACCTCAACGGTTCACAGCAGAAAGTGGGGTGTGGTAAGACCTGGTAAGATAGACTGAGAGGACACTTCGGTCTTGAAGCACCTTTTGAAATGCACTGCGGTCCTTGTCACTTGAGCTATCCTCATGAGAGGACTCAGCTACCTACGCAATGAAAGGAGCAATGCGGGGTGCATCATTTGACGACACCCCGGAACAAGCAACGGACATGGATTCGTGAAGGTAGTGCTCGATGGGAGTACATCTGGATGCACTTCGAACTCGGAACACTAAACTCACTAAAGTTCTGCACCATGATTTCCAGGCCAAGCGCGAAAATCCACAAGCCCTAAAGTGTCCCGAAAGTCAGTCGGATGCTTAGCTCCGAATCCAAAACCCAAGCGCCAGCTGTTCAACCCTGCTCAGAGGCCACGAAGAGGGTGGCACTCGGAGCTAAACCGGCATCCTGGCACTACAATGCTTGTCCGAACAGCTTTGAAACGCTAAACATCGATTAAACATGGCAGCAGTTCGCAAATAGCCTGGTCTTGGTCGGCATACGTTCGTGGAGGAAATGCTGTCCTGCAACATACATCGCGCCATGTGATGCATGATGGTGTTTGATGGTGTCTAGCGGCGACCATCTCCGGAAGTTCTTCTGCAATATATGGGGCCGTAGTGGCTGAAGCTCAGGGTTTGAAGGGGTATCCTGCAGTATACTATTGGCCGCTGTGAAGAGGTACTATGACTGTGCCTAACTATTTCGACCCCCATAGTAGCCTCACCGCCAGTTTCACATTGGCTCGCGTCGAGCACAACTCTGAACCCAAAGCCCTAAAACCCACAACCCTAGGGCCTAGGGCGCAGACTCCAAGCACAAAGGAATGGGAGTTTCAGAAAAACTCGGGTAACTTACGGGGTACTCTTTTTTGCGTGGGGTGCGGGGAGGGGGGGGGCGGGGGTCACAACTTTTTGCATGTTTTTGTCCCTACTGAACCCTAATCCCTAAACTCGAGACCCTGAACACTGAATCCATTGAGGTCTCCTCAAATGGCAGCCTTTCAAGCCGGGTAAGCTCTGCTCCGCGCACCAACGATCCACAGCAGCCTTCCAGATAAAAAAGGATGAGGATCGAAGAAGGGCACGGCTCAGCAGGATCGCACCTTATTATGGGTACTGGTAATGCCCGAAATCCTCTTGCTTGGAGGGTTCTGCTGTTGGAAGTGTAGGTCTGCCATACTGCACCCTAAATTCGATTCAACATATTGAAGCTCGCAAGCTGAACCCCTATAACTTATAGTAACCACTGCAGAGCCCTTGAAGGAGCCCTGCTCGATTACAGAAGGCCCCTAAAGTAAGCACTGAGGCTCCTAAGGTCCTAAGGTCTCAAGGTCTCTTCAGGACCTCCAGATCGCCCACGAGCTGCTGAAGCTCCAAGCAGAAGACCTCGGTGCTTCGATACCGAGGGCTCCTTCGTGGTATAGAGGCCTTAATAGTTATTACAGTCTTCTTGAAAGGGCATACTTATAGGTCACTATAAGCTTTCTAGCTTCGGGGACTTACTAGTTGTGCATGGAGTTCTGGGGTGGACCATGAGGTGGCTAAATCGGGAGATAGCGGGGGTAATATTACCATTATTCAGCCCCATATAGTTTTCGATCGGCCCAACTTCTTCCCGAGGCTTCCTGGGTAGCTCACTGGTAGCTCTCTAGACCTGGCTCCTTTGAAGGATTCCGAATAGAGTGGGGCACTCCTTTCGGATGCAAGCATGGGCCCTGATTGAGAGAACCTCCAGAAATATTAGTCATGAATTTTTTGTGGTCAGAGATCCAATGGTCACCAACCTGTTTCTCGCTTGTCTGGTTCACGCGTGGGCATAACGTAGCTAAAAGCCAATTCGGTGCCATTTCCCATTTAACTGCAGCCCCTGTCCCTTTTGCGAAGCGGAGACATTCGACTAGGATGCCTCGAGCATTAATTTGACTGCAGGCTGGCCTCATCGAGCGCTCCTGAATAAGCGAATACGGCGATCTCGACTCGAAACCCCAAAAAACAAACTCATCTCTGGTCCTGGGGAACGATTCCCTCACATAGCAAAAAAACTTCGGAATGCAGCTGCGGGACCACCCGGAGGCCCTGATCCAAACGCACCTCGAGTGCTTGGAGAGTGTAGCAAAATAGGCATCGGGCCGTATTCTGCGGTGTAGATATTGGAGACAAAGGCATTTGAAGTTTGGTGTGCTAGGATATGCTTAGGCAGAATGCCGTGACCTGCCCCATAGCTGGTCAGTTCACCCAATTTCGCCCAAAACCTCCCTCCATCTCTGCCTCCCCCCTTTCCCGAACACCACGACGCAATTTGCAGCCTCAACCTCTTCAACTCGTTCGCCAAAAAGCATAACAACCTACGTTCATCAGCTTAAGCTGGGAATGCGATGCATGGATGGTTGGATGCCCCGGCCAAAAAAACTAGTTGTGGGACACTCTTTAAGTATGTGTACATTGACATAGGTCTTCGTAATGCCTATGTGTGTATACATACGACCAAACATACATTGACATACATTGACATACATGCAGACATGCAGACATACAAACATACACACGCACACACGTACATACATACATACATACATACATACATACATACATACATACATACATACATGCATGTGTACATGTGTGTGTTACAGTGTACTTCTACATATACCAGTATACGAACATGAATGTGAATATGAATATGATTATGTAGATGCATAGAGAGAGAGAGAGAGCCCGAGAGAGACGGAGAGTTTAGACATGGATAAAGACATAGGTACAAACCTAGTATAAACATGTATAAACATAGATGTAGCTTTCGACATAGATACAGACATAGATATGGGCCATATCGGCACGAATATGGATATGGGTCGTAGCGACAGAGATAGATATAAAAATAGCTACAGGCAAATATTTAGTTTTTTTGCTATGTGCATGTTCATATGACAGGTATATCTGCGTCGAGCAAGCCTGGAAAACTTGAAAACTCCCAACCCCTGAACCCCAAACCCTCCGAACCTCTGCTACTCTCCCCAACCCTAACCCTTCACTCTAAAAGCCCTCACATACCTCTACCCTATTGTACCCCCTTGTCCCTGAGGCTGGAACAAGGAGCCTGGCGAAGGGTTGATCGGGATCCCGGTCAGGACTCAGCAGCGAAACCTGACGATTTAGGCAGTCACGGGTGCCACGACCCGAGGTGCATGACTTATACTGTTTCAAGTGTGGTGTAATGGGGGCCTCGGGTTTAGGGTTGATTGCCATGGTCTCGTGTAGTTGGGGCGTGGTAATCAGCACTTGACCACGGCTTATGGCATAATCATCGCAAGCACAAAACCACGAAGCTGCCCAAAATAGGGTTTAGGGTTTAGGGTTTAGGGTTTAGGGTGACAGATCCTGGACCACGAGGCCTCGTCAGCTGGCGGTACGGAAGTGCCCCTCGCTGCAGCGCTGCCTGGCCCACTGGCTCTTCGAACAGGCTTCAGTATATGCTATATGTTATATATGATAGAGTAAACACTGTACATTATGTATTATATATGATACATTAAGTATTATATGTTGTTTGTAGTCAAGCGCACTCGAGCTTCGATCAGTCCTGGGCCAACATGCTCTAAAAGTCAAACTTCAGCGCAAGCACAAAGTGCGTCAAAGAGTATCCGGTGCCAAACAACCTTCCCCAAACCCTTAACCGCCAAACCCCGAAACCCTAATGTAGAGGTCTTAATAATCAGAATACGGTTTTGGTGTATATTATACTATAATCATAATAAGGAAACCCCCCCAAACAGTATTCTGCTTCTGCTTCTGCTCGGACTCCAGAGCCACTGGCCACGTGTCCAAACAGTATTGGTATTTATGTAGGCCCTTACGTTGAACCCATGACCTTCTGCTTTGAAACCCCGACTTTGCGAAGCTGAGCTGGGAAAGCCTCGGTCAGCGGGACGTGCCTGCAAATGGGCTCATGATTCTGACAATTTAGGGCTTATAGGGTTTAAGGTTTAGGAATTAGGGTTTAGGGTTTAAGGATCTGATGATTCTGACAATTTTAGGGCTTATAAGTTTCGGGTTTATAGGGTTTAGTGTTTATGGGGTTTTCAGGTTTAGGAATTAGGGTTTAGGGTTTAGGGATGGGCTCATGATTCTGACGTGAAGGGGCTCTAAATGGTTGGAAGAGGGTTTCCAGAAGGGTTTAGTGTAGGGGCCTTGATGCTTAGAATCAGCTTCCTTCGAAGGGCTCCTATCAGGGTTACTCGGTTACACTACGGGATGATGGCGGCTTAGTTTAGTTATGGGGGCCTTCTGAATTAGAAGAAGGGTTTGGGGTATATCATGATCCCCAAGGAGTATTGGTAATTATTCAGGTCGCTATACAAAGCGAGGCATCGATCGTCTCACACTAGGCTGAGGAAACACCAGCTCTTGATGCAGCAAAGCCGTGAACAACACAGCAATAGCGGCGTTTGATGCGACCGATTGCTCACGCAAGTCAGACGATCTACGCGGCCAGCTGCATCTGCATGGGCTGCGGATAATTATCGACATTATTCTTTAGGGCTCTTTATCATAACTATGCTATAATTACCCCACAACCCTGCTAGTTCTAATAGTCACGGCCCTCTGCTTCTCGGGCTCCACAAACCATCAAGAGTCCAATCGTCACGGCACTGAGGTAAGGGAAGGCTCAACCCTGGTTCATGTCTAGCAGCACAATAGTTTCAACTCTTGGTCATGTTACAGCATGCGATTGCATGCATGAAACAGATGACATACACCCACTCCCATAGAAACCATAATCATCCTGTCACTGCACCACATGGCGTCTATTTCCCTGTGCAGTATCAGAAACAATTCGTCCTTGTAGGCTTCTGGCTGCGCAGGTCATTGCACTTGCAGCTGGCTCTCGGCTCTCGCTAGCACGCTCCAGCTCGACGGCAGTCTTTGCCGCTGAAGACTTGCGATTCATCGACGCAGTTGTAATGGTACGGCCTTGGCTTAGGCAGGCAGTTTAAGCTCACAGATGCATGTACACTTCGGAAGGGTGATAAGACGCCCACGTCGAGCAATACATTGGCCTCTCGTCCTGCACCAGAAGCTGGTAGATGACTTCGAGCAGGATGTCATCGATACACAGGTTCGGGCTACTTCAGAACACAGACCATTGCACTAGCAGTGCTATTCGTGATCACAGGAATGATTGCGGCTGACAGAAATCCATAACCTGAATTCATGGACACCAAGACACAGCAAGTTGTTGTATGTCGCGGCGGATAGACTGGATTACCCTGCTCTTCTGTAGTAAAATGCACATACAAGTAAGACAGTGCCACACCTGTAATTCCGCCGTGTATGGCTCTACAGCAAACCAGCGCGAGCGGACCCTCTGCCTCCTCCCACTCTGGCACATGCCGCAGCCGGTGCCGGAAGAAAGACATGCCGTACCTGTCGCAAATCGCAAGCATGTTCATAGATAATAGCTTAGGAATAGAATTTCAAAAATGATAAACTAAGGTTTCCAAGAGATGTGGCTTTCTGAGGAATGTTCAGAGGCCAAACCGTTCAGAATGATTGTCCCGGAGAGCTTTCGAAGTTTGGGCGCCAGAATCGCATGGAGCACTTTCAGAGACGGAAGATCGCGAGCGAAGCTCCCGTTGACATGCACGTCCGTTAGGCACAAGCTTCAAGGCTCATACCGTAAAATATAATCGACTTCACGATGCAGAAGCGTCAACTCTTCGTTGAAGAACGGGGCAACCCTTTCAAATCCCAGCCTCAAGGCTTCAAGCTCCACCAAGTTCCCAAACCACAGCAGTTTCAGATGCTTAAAGTCTTAGTTTGGTCTCAGGCAAACCTGTGCCCCAGCACACCTTGAAGCCCGAAGCTCCCAAACCCCAATCCCCCTAAACCCTAAGCCCTAAAGCCGCCTAAGTTACTGAACCCCCTAAACCCTGAACCCCCTAAACCCCTATCCCTAAATCCCAACCCCCCCGGATCTAAGGCCCTCGGTCACCAAGACGACAGGTTCAGGTGTGAGTCCTCCATGGCCGGGAAGAGCCTTCCTCGTCAGTTTAGGATGTAGGAATGTAGGCCTTTAAGGTAACCCTAAAGCCCTAAAAGCCCTAAAAGCCCTAAAAGCCCTAAACCCTAAAAACCCTACGGAGCCAGGGAAGTGTGACACCCAAGAGGGGTACCGTCGTGCCTGAGATTTAGATGAACAGCCGATACAGTTGCGGTTGTTATATGTGAGTGCCGAGATGTCTCTACAATTGCTGGAAGGGTCAGCTACAAGCCGGCAGTTGGCCTTGCGAATTAAAATCGATAAATATATGTATCTTGAAGGTTGCCCTAAAATCATAATCGGAAACCCCAAATCCCCAAGAAGGCCCTAAGATGAACACCAGACAGCATACGGTTTAGGGTTCAAGCGTCTAGGGTTTTTGGTAATAGCGTTCAAGGCTGCATCAAAACTCTGAACATCCCCACACCCACGGTTTGACTGCCGTGGGGCCCGTTGGGTGCCTACGCAAACATACCCAATCGATGCTCGAAACCCCTCTCAACATCAACTCACACGGGAGCTGTGGAATAACGAACCCCTTTTTCTAGACCCTAAACAATAAGAACCAACCTTAAAAACTTCTACATCATGCTTTGTTTAGAATAGAGAACCCACAGGAATCATATCGCTATTTTTCTAGCCTATGTGAGATTAACCGGAGCCTTCGATCGGCACTTGCCAGATGCGATCTGGATCCCAGAACTCCTGCAAGCAGGCACGAATCTGTCAGATGGGCCGCAGCTCAATATCCGTTCATTGGAGACTTTACCTTAAACTATAGGGGGTTTTATTTAACATTTACTATATTTACGGTAAACTCCTGCAGCTACAACTAAAGCATGACGACAACGAAAAACAGTTCAGGTGCTTTGGGCTGGGGTTTTCGAGTCTATACTTTTGGAAGCTTCACGTTACAGCCGGAGATGTTGCACATTAACCGTCCAAAACCTCAAGCTCAGACAAAAGTGGTCCTCCCGCAAGTTGAGCTCAATAAGCAAATAGTTTTGCTCGTTAGCCTGCAGCAGCCAGGACCTTGAAGCAACAGGGCCGTCATGATGCAGTCTACATCCAGATCTGGGGTCCATTCGTCAGGGTGCTTATACGCTGAATTCTAAACCTGAGGGTTCACGGCTTCACAAGGCAAAACTGCAGAAACACTGGACAACTGCTCCAGTTCTTGAAAGGACTCAGGCTGAGCCCCTCTCAACAGTAATGAGACGAAGAGGACGCCGAACACTGGAAATCCTTTCAAGACAAGCATGGCATGCATATGCATAGATTTATGCATGGTTACATACGACATACTGATTTTTTCATGTTGCGTATCACCATCTACATACATACTATATGGACAAGGGGAAGTGACACTCCGGAGAATTTCCGTGATGTGACGTGCCATGACCATTTTGTGCACTGTGATTTGCCTGACAATCTGCTTGCCTGCTACCCCCCTCCACGGTCAAACTTTGGACCAGGGGAAGTGACACTCCGGAGGACCGCGATGATGTCAAATGGGACGTTTTGCATCAGTTTCTGCAATGGATCGGTGGCCAAATGCCGGGCAAAGTCATGGCTTACCTCGCATGCCCGGTCTCTTCAACAGCTCCATGAACGAGGCGCCGAAAGCATAATGGTCCAGTTGCACACGGCCCCAATCTGTCCAGGGCATGGGCGCATAAAGCAGGGTGCCAGGTCCGAGAGCCGCTTCCTGTTGGAGCGACTCACACGCATCGAAATCAATCAATTTCACGCGGTAGGTGTTGCGGTCGGTTCGCAACAGGTGGGCAGGCTTCACATCTCGGTGCACTATGCCGTTCTTGTGGAGATGATCCAATGCGGTTGCTGCTCCACAAAACGCGACAGTGAAACCACTGTTGTTCATGCAGCGCCCACTCAAGGCCGGCCCCAGTGGTTCCAAAATAATCGCTGGATAAGGCTTACATGTCACCATGTAACACGATGCTATGCACGGATGTGCGACACTTGCCATCACCCGGCCCTCTTCCAGAAAATTCCATATCTCCAGAGCAAACGGCTTCTCAGCCTTCATGACTTTCACCGCACACGGCAGGCTTTTAAAGGTGCCTCGCCAGACTATGCCTTGGCATCCCGTACCAAGTTTGGCCTTGCGTGACCATGGGATTGCTCGACAACGTCTTCGCTTTGTATTGTCGAACAGTCTCCTGATGTTGTAGTCCGAAGGGCAAGGGCTTGCCCGCATGGCATTGTTCGGCCATCTTGGCGCCTTTGCGAACATGCTTAGGTCAGTCCTGAGACATTCGGATTGCCAACATGGACAGGCTCGGAGGCGGAATGCTGGTTGCTGTCTAGGTCCAGGCTTGCATTGTTTGCATGGGCGCGCATTTCAACTGACTCAACAGCTGCTGACAACGGTTCTGAGCTTGGTATGCACCACAACCGTGGAACCTGAATGTCACACAAGCTGTTCTACACTCAGCCACATACCATATAAATGGGGCTTCACTGAACATGCCAGAAGCACCACTTTGTCGCTGTTGTGGCTGTATAGGAAGCTTGTCCCACGTGCATGTGGCTGAATGGTTGATGGTCAAAGATTTTCGCATGTCTGAGCTCAGCAAGCCAGAGGTGCTTGCTGCTAGTGACAAGTGGCACGCACCCCAAATCCTCCAAGTTTCGACGTGAGTCTGAGAACCAGAGGCTTTACGCAGGTATCCAGTCACTGAGGTCCCTTCTCAATCAAAATGCTCCTATTCTGCTTGCCCCAGCACATGCCTTTGCTCTGCGCCTTCAGTTCCAAAGAAGCAGCCAGTGGTGAATGCCAGACCCGAGACTTTCTGAACCTAACATTAGTAATGTAGGGGCCTTAACAATAAGAACAGGTTGTGGTGTATACTATACTATAGTTAGTTCAAGGAACCCCCAAAATAGTATAGGTAATTATTGAGGCCTTCTCTTCCCCAGCAGGCCAAAACACCGACAAACCCGACATGCAGCAAGAAGTCCGGGGGTCGGACCTGTTGTTGGCCTCAGATTCTTGGCTTTCGGGCTTAAGAATACTTATAACTTATAAATGTAGTCGTCAGTATGAGAACAACGATGACAATGATTGGTGTTGTGATTTTAGTTATAGTTCGTAGTTAGCACAGAGAGTAATTAGTACATGTGATACTCGGAAGAGCAATGATAGCCGTAACAATACAACCAGCTATGGGAAACAAGTACAAGTAGCAAGCATGAGCATGTGATTCACTGCGCCTGACCTTCCGGCCTGCCGACAATCGCTGAGGTCGCTGGACTTACATTACCCCTCAACCCTAAACCGAAAGCCCTGTACCATACCCCCTAACTCTACGAGAGTGACTCCTGAACTTAACAATGAACCTCGAGGATCCAGACGCTCAGTTCGACAGACTGAGAAAGTCTCGTCTCGACACCCGAATGCCATAAAACACGGTCTACTACTTGGTGTTGTAAACTATAAGTTATGGGAAGTATGGCTACCTTGTTTCTAAGCCTTTAGCTACTAAGTCCCATGAATCTTTAAGTAGGGGCCCCGCATGCTTCCGGAGGAAGTGCCCATCCTGCCGTACGCGATGCTGCACCACCTCCTGGCGGCAGGCCCATGAGGCTCCCAGAGCCTTCGAGCTTAGCTTATGGGTTTCGGATGTTTTTGGGCTTTGTTCGTGTCAGGCTTTCGTGTTTAGGGCTAAGGGTATCCAAGCAAAGTAGCGACCACAGACCGCTGCACCCTCCAGCCCGGGCGAGGCTGCAGCCACGAATTTTTGTCGGGGGTTGCAAAGTAAGAAGTTCAGAACTGTTTGTTGCAGTGTGCCGCAGGGAGTACTTGTCATGGCCAGGGTCTCCAAGTCAGATAGCTACCTCGGCCGAATACCCAACCAGTGTTGAAACGTGGGGAATTGTTCCAAGCTCGGCTTGCCTGCCCGGGACATTACATACTCTGAAGGGTCAAGTCGGATTTCACAGCACTTGTTCTAAGTAAGCGTTCCCTTAACAGATACTATCCTTGTAGCACTTCATTCGAAGATTAAAGACCCCGGACCCCGAAGAGGGACCCTGATTCATGGCATCCCTTACTCTTCCTCCAGCATGTGGAAGTCGTCATCGTGTATGTGGAGATCCTCAGCTTAGTCGCACCGCAGGAGGAAACGACGCTTTGAAGAAGGCATCAACAAACCAAAAATTCTGGAACATCCATCCTAAAATACGATCGCAGACTTTGCTGCACGATGCTATACTACACCATACCATTGTACTGTACTCTACTATACTATACTACACTATACTGATTATAACATACGGTTGCATTGCCCCCGTTGGCCGAAGAGCAAAGCCCCAATGCACGCAATGCTGAACTCCTGAAGGCAGGCTGGATGTCATTTGCAACTCTAATGTCTAAAGCGAGGCAATACAAGGGTATTATACTACTCTAATTATAATCAGGGACGAGAGGAATACGATTGTGAATTATTCAGGCCCCTACATTCCCGGGATTTAGAGTGAAAGACGGCCTATGCTCTGCGTGGAGACTGGAGCTTGCTGAGTTGCAGGCTACGTCTGCGTCCCAGTCCAGCATGCCACCGAACTTGTAGGAACCCAGCAGAACTCCGTCAGTGACTATGTAGCCTGGTTGTGCTCGAGGCTTCAGAGATACGGGATATCATAGGGGTGCTACAGGGGTACTATAACGGAATATACCACAAGAGTGCATGATCATGGTCAGGGTGGCGTATCAGAAGGCATAATACAAGTCCTAGATAGAAAGGCACATGTAGTGTAGGGGTGCTACAGGCAGAGGCTGAGGCGAGCACGGACCCCCAGCTCCTTGAACACCCCATCGATGTAGAAGAGGAGGTGGCGCATCGTCTCCTGGAAGGCCCGAAAGACGTTAAGTCTGCAAGAAGTATCGCTCCGGCATCCGAAACAAATCTGGCAACAGTCATCCTTGTGGTTTTGATAAAAATAGCGATAGAGTCGATAGAGAGATACATCAATCAACACATAGCAGAAGCGAGTATGCAAACTATAGCGGGTCAATGGTAATTGCACCAGCAGCAACAACAAACAACAAACACATGTCAAAACCACTATTCCGGCATCAACGACTGCGCTCCTTGCAGCACGGTGGTACAGCCCAGCCACGGTACACCTTTCAGCATTTAGGGCTTAGGGATCTGGGTTTTCGAGTCTATGGACATCGATAGAGGTTCAAGGCTTCGGGACTGCTGCTTTGCAGTTGACGATTGAGGCTCCCTCTCGTCTCACGGGCTAGGGCAAGTCTCACACAGAGCTGGGATCAGAGCTGCGGGCCCTAAACCCGAAACCCTGAAATCTCACAACCAAAAACCTAGAGCATGAGCAAGCAAAAACAAAAATGCAGCACACCGACACCGACTCCAGGTTTCAACAGTGTCATGGTCATTCTTACGGCATGATGATACTGAACCACACTCTACTTATACATACATGCATATCCCAGAGTCTACGCCGAATAAGTGCTGATAATGGCGATAGAGGCGTTGCTCATGCTTGTTCATACTCCAAGTTGTTCTGGCCACCAGTTGTGTGCCTAAGGGGTTTCCCAGAGTTTCCCCAGGAACCGCCTACATGCCCATGATTGTCTGGAGCGGTTGTGCTCAATACCCCATGCGGTAGAAACAGAAACGATCCACTTTGTCTGCACCGTGGCGCTGGCCCACGCCATGTTGTCTTGTGAATTCAAAACTGATTCAGTTCTCCATGTCTCCGAGCCCTAAGATTAACTAAGACCCCCAGAGGACTGGAAGGAACTCCACTACCACATCTTCTGTTCATTACTTCACAAAGTTTCACCAACAAAAACAACCCTGACCCCAAAACCGAACTCCCGAAACGCCTATACCCTGAACTTAAAGCCTAAACCCTATACCCCCAAACCCGAAAACTTCATAAGAAAACCTGAGGGCGCTGCCCAGTCCGGCACCGGGCAGTTCGTGACCGAAAGGCTGCAGCCGAAGTGGCGCGTGAGGCCCTCGGGACCGGTGAAGTCCTGACTTTTTAGGATATAGGGTTTAGGGACTTAGGGGTTGTCTAGGGTTCAGGGGTTTAGGGGTTGAGGGGTTGAGGGGTTTAGGGGTTTAGGGGTTTAGGGGTTGAGGGGTTTAGGGGTCTAGGTTTTTGGGGTTTGGGGGTTTAGGGGTTGAGGTGTTTAGGGTTTAAGGGTTTCGGGGTTTAGAGGTTCAGGGGTCGAGGGGTTTTGGGTTTAAGAATTGAGGGGTTAAGTGTTCGTTGTTGCACATAGCACTTAAGCTCAGCGTTTAGGGTTTAGGGCTCCGGGGTTCTTATTATCAGAGTTGTATAGGGTGTAACAAAATTCTTTAGGGGACTCGATCAAGGTGTTGTGGTGGTTTTTTCCACATAGGGCTAATTTAATACTTGTGCTACGGGCCGTCAGCAGGCGCTTATAGAGAGGACTGAAGTCCCGGGACCTGTTGAGAATTGCTTTCTAGATAGATAGATAGATAGATAGATAGATAGATAGATAAATAGATAGATAGATAGATAGGTAGATAGATAGATAGATAGATAGGTAGCAAGATAGATAGATAGGTAGATGGATAGATAGATAGATAGATAGATAGATAGATAGGTAGATAGATATTTTATCGCGGCACTACTCTCTCTCGTGCTTGCCTGTGTTTGTTTTGCTTCGAGGGGGGGGGGGTCCCGTACTTCTGAGACTCCATCAAGACCCGGCGGCCGCGATCGAGGTATTCTAGGGCTTCTAGGGCTTCGAGCGAATGCAGAAATACAATATGTTCACGTGGGGCTTAACTACTTAGTGTGGCTTTGTAACGTAAGGACCTTCGGGCAACGGCGCGCTCATCGTTGGGATTTGGGGTTTAGGAATTCTTGGTTGTTGGGTTGCTGTAGCACCTGTTTAGCAACCAGATAGTCGTGGTACCCAGCTACGAGCAATGGTGCTGACAGCACCCGTATAGGTGAGCTGATGATCGCAGGACTTACTCCGATCAAGAACTTGCTGGTTCTTGACTCTGGCCCTATACCCTACACCCTAAACCCCAACTTTCATCATTAACCCTAAACCCTAAACTCTAAACCCTAAACCGTATTCATGATGCTCATGGAATTTGGCCTTGAGGTGGTTGCTCTCCATGAAGGTCTGTGCCTGCTTCTCCGGCTTGAGCCTGCAAAGTTACTGGTGCCGGAAAGCCCCGGGGTAGTTCAATTTAAAAGGATTCCTGATAGGGTTGGGAGTCTCCGGGCTCGAAGAGGCTTTGAGTTTCGGGTTTTGGGTGTCGGGGTGTGGAGGTAAGGGATTCCTGACGGCTCTTGGGACATGGGCGCGCTTGCCACTGTCTCTGGCTGCACCCGGTACGGACTGTATCCGGTTCGGAAACATCGGGGCCTCATGGCTGCATCTCCACTCTGACGCATCATCTTACAGCAGAAACCGCACGGTCTCAAAACCTCAAACCCCCAGATTCAAACACCCGCGTGTACGGTAGCCATTGCAGCGAAAGCAGAAACCCTACTTCTCGAAACCTAAACCCTCCACAGAAGTCTTGAAGCCGTGATCGCTGCATCCCGGAACCAAAAGCCGGAACCCTAAAACCCTAAAGCCCCAACCCTGAACCCCTAAAGCAACTGAAGCTGCTACTTCAGAACCCTGAACCCTAAACCCTAAATCCCTGAACCCTAAACCCTAAACCCTAAATCCCTGAACCCTAAACCCTAAACCCTAAAACCCGGTCCCCGCCGCCTTCGGCTCTTTTTTGAGGCAGCGGCTACCGGGCCCAAGGCTGCCGACTCGTCGCCAAACCTCCGAGAAAGTTTTTGGGGCTTTAGGGTTTTGGGTTTTGGGGTTTAATGGTTTAAGGGTTCAGGGTTTTGGGGCTTTAGGGTTTTGGGTTTTGGGGGTTTAATGGTTTAAGGGTTCAGGTTTTTGGGTCTTTAGGGTTTGGGTTTTTTGGGCTTAGGGGTTTCATGGTTTAAGGGTTCAGGGTTTTGGGTCTTTAGGGTTTGGGTTTTGGGGTTTAGGGGTTTAATGGTTTATATAAGGGTTTGGGCTTTGGGGCTTTAGGGTTTTGGGCTTTGGGCTTAGGGGTTTAATGGTTTAAGGGTTTAGGGTCTTTAGGGTTTTGGGTGTTGGGTTTAGAGTGGTTTCGGACTCCGGGTCTAAGGTCTTTAGTGGCTCCAGATCTTCAGGTTGGGGCCGGGCGTTTAGGGAGGAATTCTAGGGGTTAAGAGTTTCAAACTGGAAGAAGTAATCTAGGGGCCTTAATAATCAGAACAGGGTTTTGGGGCCCTTATCTTCTGTCAGCGTAGCTACATGAAACCTGAGGCACAAGGCTTGGGGCCGATAAAGGGGCTGAAGACTACGGAAGCAGCTTATAGCCAAATCCTGACACGCTGGCTGCGGCTGAGGAGGCAGCCAGGCCGATGCCAGAGCCACCCCTTCGGCGGGCACGTCGCTGCGCCCATAAAGATGGGGCCTGTGGGTTTGGATTTCAGCTTTCTGGGTTGTGGGGGCAGCAAAGGTGGTTGATTGCTACAGATTCCCGGGATTGTTAAGTATGTGGCATACGTGAGCTTGAATAACGTTGGGTTGTGGTTTTGTCTGCGCTGTTTCAAGCGCGTTCACTCGCTGCAGGGTGGTCACGAAGGACTTGCCGTGAGGATTGGGCAAACCCAAATTACCCACAACCTCTGACAAAGCCTGCCATCGCTGAACACGAATGGGTTGCGGGTTCTGATCTAGCAGGGGCTTCGGAAGCGACCAGGCTCCTCGACCTAACACAGGTCGTAGAGATGGCCAGCCGTCAAGTCTTTAGCTTGTACGTCAACTCACGTGGGATCTGCAGCTGGTGCAGTAATCAAGGCGGCAGGACCAGCCACAAACCATGGTTCTTGACGTCACACGAAGAACAGTAAGCCGTAGACCCTGGAAGCCACAACTTGCCCCTGAAAGCCCCTGCACCCTGTAAAAGCTCGAAACCACGAACACCCTCAACCCTTAGCGCAAAAACTTGGAAACCGGAGGTCCGAAGGTGCAATTATCCATTGAAACTAGAAACGCCCAAAAGAACCTTCCAAACGCACCTCAGTCAATGAACCGATCAAAAAACTCAAACTCACCAAGAAGCCCCAATGCAAGCCTCATCTTGAAAACCCTATACAGCCCCATCAACTAAATTAGTCTTTCCCGAATCCGAAAGGCCCCTTGTACACACCCCCAAACCGCATAAACTTTCATAAACCCCCAAACCTCTCCCCTAAACCATAGGCCCCTACACCCTAAACCCTAAACCCCAAACCCCAAACCTCTCCAAGAACTCCCACAAGGCCCCGGCCCTGCCATCTCCGGCAGCTCCTGGACCGAAGCGAAGGGGCAAAGCGCGAAGCGGCTGCTGCGGTGCCTCCATCCAGGCCTCAGGTTCCCTTTAAGGGTACCATCATACTGCTGATGATATATAATGATATATATATATATATATACATATATATATATATAGATAGATATGTGAATATACTATATATATATATATATGTGTGTGTGTATCCTGCATTCCCTTAAGGACCCTCAACGATGGGAATTATGGCATTTTCTTTTCTATGGGTACTGCAGGATTTATATCATCAAGCGCAGTGTGCTACAACGGTGGTTCCTTGAAGTGTTCCCTTATGGAGGGTACTAAGAAAGGGCTCCTTCAAGGGTTCCCTGAAAGCAATTTAGGCCTTCCATTCAGGGTTACTTCGAAGGGTTCGATTCTTTGGAGGTTCCTCCAAGGAAGGCTCCTTTTGGGTTCCTCATACACCATAAAACCTATAAACCCAATGCCCTGCGAATCAAGAGCTGGTGCCTCCCTGAAACCCCAAAACCTCAATTTAGAGCAGCAAGGCTACTTAGAGATTCATGGGACTTATTGTAGTAACTAAGGCTATAAATTCGCCTCGGTCAGAGGTTGCCACAGCGGTTCCCTGTTTCCCCACCTCTTAATCCCATG